GCTTTTATGGATTTAATGAATCGGGTTTTCAAGCCATTTCTAGATATATTTGTAATTGTTTTCGTTGATGATATTCTGGTATATTCTCGATCAGAAGCAGAACATGAGGATCATTTACGTGTGGTGTTGCAGACTTTGAAAAATCAGAAATTATATGCTAAATTCTCCAAATGTGAATTTTGGTTGAATTCAGTGGCTTTCCTTGGGCATATCATTTCCGATGAAGGTATTAAGGTAGATGGTCAGAAAATTGAAGCAGTACAAAACTGGCCTAGACCCACAACTCCTACGGAAGTTCGTAGTTTCTTGGGCTTAACTGGTTATTATCGGAGATTTGTTGAGAACTTCTCTTCTATTTCTGCTCCCATGAAAAAATTGACACACAAAGCCGTTAAGTTCTAATGGTCTGATGCATGTGAAAGGAGCTTTCATGAGTTGAAGAAACGCTTAACATCAGCACCTGTTCTAGCACTTCCTGAAGGATCTGAAGGTTATGTGGTATATTGTGATGCATCCAGGGTTGGATTGGGATGTGTTCTAATGCAGCATGGAAAAGTTATTGCATATGCTTCGAGGCAGTTGCGGAAGCACGAACACAATTATCCGACTCATGATATTGAGTTAGCAGCCGTTATATTTGCCTTGAAAATATGGCGTGATTATCTTTATGGTGTTCATGTGGATATCTATACAAATCACAAAAGTTTACAATATATATTTAAGCAGAAAGACTTGAACTTGAGATAAAGGAGATGGCTTGAATTGCTGAAAGACTATGATGTGGATATTTTGTACCATTCGGGCAAAGCAAATGTGCTAGCTGATGCATTGAGTCACAAATCCATGGGCAGCTTGAAGCATGTAGAAGTTGGGAAATTAGAAATGACTAAGGAGATATATCGATTGGCTAACCTGAGTGTGCGACTACATGATACAGGTGACCAGGGTGTAGTAGTTCAAAATATTGCGGGGTCATCACTGGTAGCTGAGGTAGAAATGCATCAATTTGAGGATCCAGAGTTAGTCAAAATTAAAGAGAGCATCCCTTTTCAGAAGAAGCAGTTGTTCGAGCAATCTGATGATAGAATTCTAAAATATAAAGGCCGATGGTGTGTACCTAATGTTGGGGAGCTTCGTAAGCAAATTATGACAGAGATGTACCAGTCTCGATACTCAGTTCATCCTGGTTCAACCAAAATGTATCATGATCTTCGCCAGCTATACTGGTGGAACGACATGAAGAAAGATATAGTCACATTTGTGGCTCAGTGTCCCAACTGCCAGCAGGTTAAAGCTGAACACTAGAAACCTGGAGGGCTACTTCAAAATATTGAGATTCCAGCTTGGAAATGGGAATCGATTAATATGGATTTCATTACAGGATTGCCCAATTCTCGCCGTAAGTTCAATTCTATTTGGGTCATTGTGGATAGGCTGACGAAATCAGCTCACTTTCTCCCAGTTAGGACCACATATTCAGCTGAAGACAATGCGAGCCTGTATATCAAGGAAATAGTTCGGCTACATGGAGTTCCGTTTTCTATTATATCTGACAGAGGTGTCCAATTTACAGCTAATTTTTGGAGGTCTTTTCAAGAAGGTTTGGGTACCCTTGTTAACCTTAGTATAACATTTCATCCGCAGACCGACGGACAAGCCGAACGCACTATTCAGACACTCGAAGATATGTTGCAAGCTTGTGTCTTAGACTTCAAGGGAAGTTGGGAAGATCATTTACCGCTTATTGAGTTTGCCTACAATAACAGTTATCACGTCGATATTCAGATGGCACCTTATGAGGCACTATATGGGAGGAAATGCAGATCTCCTATTGGCTGGTTTGATGTTGGCGAGACAAAGTTGCTAGGACCTAAATTGGTACAACAAGCTATAGAAAAGGTAAAGTTGATCCAGGAAAGGTTGCGTACAACTCAAAGTCGATAGAAATCATATTCAGATAACCGACGTCGAGACTTGAAATTTGATGTGGGAGACTGGGTATTCTTGAAAGTGTCGCCTATGAAGGGTGTAATGAGATTTGGTAAGAAAGGAAAACTCAGCCCTAGATATGTTGGGCCATATCAGATTGTTCAGAGAATTGGGCGAGTAGCCTACAAACTTGACCTGCCACCAGAATTAGAAGCAATCCATCCGGTATTTCACATTTCCATGCTTCGGAAATTCTTAGGTGATCCTTCTTGCATCAGCCCTATCGAGGATATTGAAGTTTCTGAGAACTTGTCATATGAAGAAATACCTGTTGCCATTCTTGACCGTCAAATCCGTAAGCTACGGACTAAAGAGGTAGCCTCAGTAAAAGTACTTTGGAGGAGCAATAATGTAGAGGAAATGACATGGGAGGCCGAGGAGGACATGAAGTCCAGATACCCCCATTTATTTGAGTCTTCAGGCGATATGCTTGAGACAAATATGGCAGGTGTTGCACATATATCAACCAGTGACAGTTGAGGTAATTAAGTTATGGCTAACCTTCTTATTATCATTATTGTATAAGTAAATGGTCGTGTGAGGCCAAGTTGATGTTATTATTATGATGTGTAGCCCTGTGTGGCCTTAGATATGTATGTTTGGGCTGATGACAGGTTTTGGATATTCCTATTTATAGGGGAAACTCTGGCGAAATTTTAAAAAAAAAATAAAAATTCAGAAGTTAGGTTAACCGTTAACATTCGAGGACGAATGTTCTTAAGGA